TTAGATCACCTAGAACTGGAGTTACAGACAGTTGTTAGCTGCCATGTGGGTTCTGGGATTCAAACCTGGGTCTTTGGCAAGAACAGTCAGTGTTCTTAACTGCTGAGCCATCTCTCCAGCCCCTATAATGTCATATTGTTGTAAGAAAAGTATTCTGTATTATTTCTGTAATTAAAAATTAACAACAGGGCCAAGGAGATGGCTCAGTGGGTAAAAGTTCTTTCTGTGAAAGCCTGATGTAAAAAGGAAAAAGGGTGGCAGCTATCTGTAATCCTAATTCCTATGGCAGGATGGAAGTCAGAGAGAGACAGGAAAACTGTCTAGAAGCTCCAGGACCAGGGAGAATGGAGTATATGCAATGGCAGAAACAAAGAGAAGGTGAGAAAGGACTCCCCAAAGTTGTCCTCTGACCTCCACATGCATGCCATGGTGCGCGCGCGTGCACGCACGCGCACACACACACACACACAAAATGGTGAAAAATTAAGAATATGTATAAGTTAAGTACATGGAAAAGAATTGTATATTCCTAGGTTTCTTTATTGCAATTTCATTCCTTTCGCCAAGAAAGCACACTGGACAAAACCTGATTAAGAACTATCAATTAAACTCATCTCATGTATTTTAAAAACTTTTTTGGGGGGTGGGGGTGGGGGTGGGGAGAGGAGTTTCTAGGGATCGAATGCAGGGTCTCTTGCATTCTCGATAGGTGTTCTACCACAGTTATATTTCTACCACTCAAGATTTTCCCTAAATGTCAATTATTTCATATACCAAATGATATTAGATTGTTGTATAGAGATGGCTCCCATTGTATTTTCTTCTATTCTTTTTACCACCATTAAAACAAAAACTAAAATCTTCAGTCCTTTTATATTTATTATCAACTCATTACCATTAAATAGGCAGTAATTCCTCAGTAACTACTGGGAATTGTTAAAAATAAATTCCAGCTATTACTTTTATCTTACCGAGTTTTTTGGAATGGTCGACTCATATTCATAGCAGCAGCATTTGTTTTATAAGATCCCGGCGAATTAAAGCCATTCACAAAACTACCATTAGGGAAGGGAGCCTAGAAGAAAATGTTAATGTTTAAACAGTTTTAACAATAAAGATAAATATTCCAAGCCGGGCATGGTGGCGCATGCCTTTAATTCCAGCACTCGGGAGGCAGAGACAGGCGGATCTCTGTGAGTTCAAGGCCAGCCTGGTCTACATAGTGAGTTCCAGGAAAGCTGGGGCTACAGGGAGAACCAGTATCAAAAAAAAAAACCAAAAAAAAAAAAAAAAGATAACTATTCCAGTGAGGGTTTCGAGAAACCCAAGCAAGTTACTTTCCTATCACTTTCTTCAACAAGTCAAAAAGATTACAATTCAACAGCCAGAAGGAAATCCAACACAAAATAAATGAACTATCTCATTTAATTTCTCTCTCTCTCTTTTTCAAACACGATCTCACAATGTAGCCCTTGCTGTGCTGGAACTCAGAGAATGGTCTGTCTCTGTGTCTCAAGCGCTTGGTTGCTTTTGGAGACAACCTGGGCTGGCCTGTATCTTGCTATATAGACTAAGCTGGCCTTCATCTTGCAAGATTCCTCCCCACTCTGCTTCTTGGGTGTTTGGCTTCCAGACAGAGATGCCACTTGCGCCTGGCTTTCAGCTAATTTCTTTTTTCATCTCACTTTGTACTAGTTCCAGGACAGCTGGGGCTACAGGGAGACCCTGTCTCAAAAAGACCCCCCCCAAAACAAAAAAACCCATTATGTTATCATTATATAATGTTCTCACTTACCAGTGGTGTTTCAAAGTAAGGTGTAGGACTTGGAGACCAAGACTGAGGCACAATACTATAGACTGAGTACTGTTGGTGAGGGTTATACACAGGCTGCATAAAGACTGGTGAGGGATATTGGGCTTGAGTCTGAATGGGTTGAGTATACATACTAGAATCCATTAATCGATAACCATTCTTAGCAAAGAATGTATTGATGGCTTTTATCCTCGCCTAGAACGAAAAATAATGCAATAACAAAAGATGAAGTGTATTATCTCAAGAAACATTCAATTTATCTTTTAACATGTTTAATGATTATACTATTTCTTAGAATTAGTAGGGTAAAAGAAAATGACAGGTTTAATTAATAGAAAAGTGTCTGCTTGGGAAAAGCAACAATAATCAAGGTGTAAATAAAAGTCAAAACAGTAAAATTAAAATTAATATCCACATGTATTATTTATATGCCTAATATATACAGAGCCACATGAATGGCACATGACTGTACGTTCAGGTACTTTGTAGGTTGAGGAAGAACTGTCAAGGCGGAGGACAGCTCATCTCCAAAACAAAACAAGATAAGACATCAAAGCTAACCAACCAGACAGACAGACAAAGGGCTGGAGAGCTCAACAGCTACGAGCACATACTGCTGCTCTTCCAGAGGATTGGAGTTCAGTTCCCAGCATCCATGTCTGGTAGCTCATAACTGCCTATAATTCCAGGTGATCTGACACCCTCTTCTGACCTCTGTGGGCATGGGTATACATGTACACATACATGTAAATAAAAAAGCAAAAGACACGAAAAAACTATAATCCTAAAGAAAAACAGGCTACAGATGCTAATAAACTACATGAAATAGATGTTAAACATCATTTATAAGAGAAATGGTCAAAATAGAAATAAGAGAAAAAATGGTAACATAGAAATGAAAAACAAATCAAAATGACTACACAAATTTAAATCACAAAATAACACTGTACATTAGAGAATGGCAATTACCAAAAAGTGAGGGCTGGAGACCACGCAGAGAAAAGGGAACTTTCATTATGGTTGGTCAAAATGTAAATTAACCTCAAAACTTCTACTGATTATTGACTTCTATTTACTACTGAGAGCTCAGTGGTAAAGTACTTGCCTAGTAAGCATGGAAAAGGCCCTGGGTTTGACATCATATCAACACAGAAGAATAAATAAAAACAAAGATATATACACAAAGGAAATGAGTTGAAGAGAGCTATATCCCCATGTACCTCTGAATACACTGGAATATTATCCAGTCTTTAAGAAGGAAATCCTGCCACGCGTAGTGGTGCATGCCTTTGGGAGGCAGATCTCTGTGCGTTCCAGGCCAGCTGTGAACCCGCCCCCCCACCTCGCAAAGGACAAAATTCCAATGAAAGGCTGGGAGTATGACTCAGTGGTAAGAGTACTTGTCTTGGTTCAATGCCCAGCTCCACCAAAGCAAAGCAAAGCAAACCTTCCCAAAATGGCATTATTTATAGAAATAGATCTTCTTTCAGAAGATAAAAAACCAAAGTAAGACCCATTACTATGTACAGTGATTATACAACAGTAAAATTTTTTGCTAAGGGCTGGGTATGGTGGCATATGCCTATAATCCCAGCACCTGGGAAGTGGAGTTAGGAGGATCAAGAGTTCAATGACCGCTACATGAGACTATCTAAAAAACAAAAGCAAAGCCAGTTTCGATAAACAATCTTAGTAGGGGCTGGGGAGATGGGTCAGTCAGTAAAGCACTTGCCATTCAATCATTAGGACCTGAGTTTGGATCCCAGCCAAGTATGGTGGCACGATCCTGGAACCTCAGCACTGGGAGAGAAAGGGGAAGGGTGCAGAGACAGGACTGTGGAGCTTACCGGCTGAGCCAGTCTAGCTAATAGGTGAGCTCCAACTTCAATGACTAAACTTGTCTAAAAAAATAAGCTGGAGACAGGCTGTGGATTTGGCTAGGTAGATAAGAGTGCTTGATCTACAAACATGAGGAACTCAGTTCACATGTAAAAAGCCTGGCCTAGCTGTGCATGTCTGTAACCCCAGCATTGGCGGGCCATAGGCAGGTCCAAATTTGTTAGCTAGCCTACCTAGAAACAGGGTCTTTCCAGTTCAGCGAGAGACCCTATCTCAAGGCAATAAGGCTGACAGTGATAAGAAAGACACCTAACATCCTGGTCTGGTCTCTGCAAACATGCATATGCACCTCCATGACCCACCCCTAAGGGGTACATGCCGCCACACTTAGCCTTTATATGGGTACTATGAATCCAAACTCTGGCTCTCATGCCTGCATGGCAGGCACTTTGCTGACTGAGTCATTTCTCTGGCTCAAAAAAGGGAGCCCTTACTATTTTTAAGAAAATGAACCTGAAGGTATTAGGTTACACAAAATAGAAAAGAACAGAAAGATTCCTACTGTGTGATCTCACTTGGATGTGAGACTGATTTAATCATTTCAGACTGTATACACACTAAAGTATCACATTGTACAATGTAAGTGTATACAATAAAATTGTATCAATAAACTTGGGAGAAAAAAATAATGCACTTTACTCACTATTCATTAACACACACAAATACACACACAAAACAAAAAACCCAAACAAACCTCAGCAGTCTTATCAATAACTGAATATACCATAGTACTCAAAATGCAGAACTGAAGAATTGCTCTGAATACTAAAGTGGAGTGAATCCCAAAATGTATCATTAAGGAAGAGGGGGCAAGAAGGAGAAAAGCACTTGTGTAATGTGGCTATTACGAGACAGGAGGACAAACTACTTACATACACGTTTTAATGTACTGTATTTCTGTATTTTAGTTTTTACATTTTTTTATTATCTAAAAATTATAAATTTTAAAATTTTTTACTTGCTTTCAGAATTATATTGGCATTTGTTTTTTGATGTATTTTGTGTAGTTATGGGATACAGCTAATCAGGAATTATATCAGGATCAGGAAATAGGATATTATCTCACATCAGAAAAGAGGCAAAGATGTAAGACTCAAGATGTAAAGTCTGGGACTGGGGAGGTGGCAAGCTTACAGCTGAAGTTTGACCTCTGGAACCCACAAGAGGCCAGATGATGTGGTGGGCTTCTATAATTCCACCCTACAGGGCAAGATGGGAGGTGGAAATAGGCTCACAGGGCAGCCTCTAGGAGTACACAACACAGCAGAAAAGAGGGCTATGCCTCTTCAAAAACAAGGTGAAAGGAGAGACTGATAACCTCAGAGCTATCCTCTGACCTCCACACACTGGCTGGCATTCACAGGCACATTATCATAGACATACACAATAAAAAAAACCAAACAAGAAGCCAGGCGTGGTGGCGCACGCCTTTACTCCCAGCACTCTGAGACTCAGTCTGGGATATAGCTCAGTAATGTATTACTTGCAGAGAATGTTTGAGGCTCTAGGTTTGATCTAGTTCCAGGGGATCTGATGCCCTCTTCTGATCTCCTCAGGTGCTGCACGACATGGGCGCACTTACAAACATAACAGGCAATATACTCTCATGCACATAAAATAAAAATTAAGAAACAATAAACACTGTATCTTTATAGTCTCAAAGGGGAAAGGGAAAGACATCATTAAAGACAGAAGTAGGGTCATGATTAGCAAGCAGCTCATTTGTAATATGGAAATTACATAATGAATTACTAAATAGTAATGATGAAATTTCAATGTTCAGTTCTTACAAAAGTACCTCCATATACTTCATTTTAAAAGTACAGGTTACTTGCACCCTGGTTCTTTTACAGTCATTGTGAAACTGGACTGATTATTATTATTTTCTTCATTAATAAAAATAGAGAAAAGAGTACTGGCTTCATCAGGTTCCTTTACATATACTGAGGCTGGCCTTGAACTCAGTTGTAGCCCAAGCTGGCCTCGCTGGCCTCAAACTCATAATCAGTCTTCTTGCCTCAGTCTGACTGGTTGGATTACAGAAGTGAGCCATCATACCTGGCCTCATTAGGTTCTTATGCCAGTGAGAGTATTTGTACTACATTGTACTACATTGTATTTGTAATACATTTTGGGATTCACTCCACTTTAGTATTCAGAGCAATTCTTCAGTTCTGCATTTTGAGTACTTCAAACAGAAACTGATACTTAGTAAAAACAAAACAAAAACAAAAGCAAGAAGTTAATAAGAGTAACGTATCACATTTGAACAATGAAAAACAAAGAACATTATCAGATAGGTTGAGGACCAGGCCAAAATAAGTGTAGGTTTAGCCTATTTTAGAATGGTGGCTTCAGTGGCAATGTGGAGACTAGAAAAGTCAATGGCATTGTGATTCTGAGGCGACTTCAACTGTTCAAGCTTAAACCATGAAAATAATGGAAGAAGTCTGAAGACAGATTTTATGGGACCTGAGAACAGATTAAACATGTAAATACAGTGAGAAAGTAGGACTAATAGCATTTCCTAAGTTCTCAATTGATGTTTTTCTGGTAATACAAGTAACAGATAGGGATGAAAGAACTGGAAATGTTTTCATCTCTGCTATTAAAAAATTGCCCTTATTGCTCATCTTGAGATCACTGCAGGTGGTGAATACATAAAAATAAATTGTATTGCTATGCTGTTAAATTACTACAGGTTTTATAAAATATCTGTCCATGAGTTTTTCTTTTTAAAAAGGCAAAACAACCGCTGCAATAAAAAATACTTCCCAACACATTTCTTGTCCAGAAAAACCTTTCTTATCTCACACTGTCATCTAGTGTATTTGCATATAATTCTTACCATGATTGGCTTGCCCTGAAATGTTTTAACTTCTTCACGTAAGTATTTAAAAGCCTGTTAAAGCAAAAGGGAACTTCAATTAGCATTCAAGCATTCCATTAAAGCCATCTGCATTCTAGCAAGTGAGTTTGGTAGTCTCAATTTCTTTTTCCTTTTTTCTTTAGTATTTTTAAAAATATTATTTATTTATTTATTCATATACTTTTTTATGTGTATGTGTGTATTGCCTGCATGTAGTTAAGTGCACCCGTGTTGTGCAATGCCTGAGGAGGTCAGAAGAGGCTGCTGGATCCCCTGGAACTGGAGTTATGGACAGTTGTTAGCTGCCATGTGGGTCCTGGGATTTGAACCCAGGTCTTCTGCAAGAACAACTAGTGTTCTTAACCGCTGAGCCATCTCTCCAGCCCTTACTTTAGTATTTTTTAAAAAAATATTTTATTTGGGCCAGGTGTGAGGCAGAGGCAGGTGGATCTCTGTGAGTTCAAGGCCAGCCTGATCTACATAGTGAGTTCCAGCTGGGGCTACAGGGAGACCCTGTGTCAAAAAAACCAAAAAAAAAAAAAAAATTATTATTTTTATTTATGTGTATGAATGTATTGCCTGCATGTATGTGAGTGCACCTGTGTCATGCAATGCCATGGAGGTCAAAAGAGGGCTTCAGATTCCCCTGGAACTGGATTTAAGGACAGTTTGTAGCCGCCGTTTGGGTGCTGGGAATTGAACCTGGGTCCTCTGCAAGAGCAGTGAGTGCACTTAACTGCTGAGCCATCTCTCCAGCCCCAGTATTTTTATTTTATGAGTGTATTGCCTGCATATATGTAACCACACCCAGGGCGGTTAGAAGAGGGTGTTGGATACTCTGGAACTGGAGTTATGGATGGTTGTTGGCTGCCATGTGGGAGCTGTAAGAGCAGCCAGTGCTCTTACTGCTAGGCCATCTCTCCAGGCCTGGTAGTCTCAGTTTCTAAACTGAACAAAAAAATCCTTGCTGTTATGTGTAGTAGTGTACAGTATACCTGTAATCCCAGCACTTGGAAAGTTAAAGCAGATGATGCCAAGTTTGAAGACAGTATGGCTACATGGTAATCTCTAAGCCATCCTTGGACACAAGTCAAAACAAAATGTGAATCTAATAGGGAATGAAAAACTAAGAAATCGAAACATTCTCCACTGCAGTTCATAGTTAATGTAGGGAAATTGTCATGTAGTCCTGTGACAAAAGAGATGACACAAAACATACTGTATCGCCAGCTAGAAGTAGTAGTGTAAGGCTGTAATCCTAGCACTTAGAAGGCTGATACAGAGTGTGCTGAGAGTGTGAAGCCAGCCTTGTCTACCTAGTGAGTTCCAGATTGGTCTGGGGTACTAATGAAAACTTGTCTTAGAATAAAACAAAACAATGCCTCCCCAAACCTAAGATGAAGAATTTTTTAAAAGAATAAAATTTGATTTATTTTACATTGATATTTTATATTTTGATTTCTATGTATTTTCATTTCAAAGGAATGCTTCTCTGGTTTATAAGGACATGATAAGAATAAGATCATGGGCTGGAGAGATGGCTCAGTAGTTAAGAACACAGGCTACTCTTGCAGAGGACCTGGGTTAGATTCCCAGCACCCACATGTAACCATCTGTAACTCCAGCTCCAGAGGGTTCAATGACCTCTTCTGTCCTCCTTGGCATTGTAGGACACAGGTGCAGGACACGATATCCCAGACACATAAAATAAAAATAAAACCAAAAAACTTTAAAAAGAGAATATGATCACTAAGAGAGTGCGATCAGGATCATCTCAGCATTCTGAATGAAGCTGCGGCAGGAGTCTGAGCCTTTCCTGGGCTACACAGTCAATTCCAGAATTGTAGGCTAGCCTGTGAGCTACACTATGAGACTCTGCCTGAAAAAAAAAACAAAAAAACCTACAAAAAAACCCCACCAAAAACCACCACCACCACAAAACCCAACCAATCCTATTTTTGTTGACTGTAGGCCTACTATGCACTAAAAATACTGAGTGAGTATATGATTCCCAATCCTCAAATTCATTTAAAAAGTCCATGATAACTTTTTTAAATTGACCAAAAAAAAAAATTAAAATTAAAAAATTTAACATTGTAGTTGATGGATGTTTTATGCAGTTGGCAAAAAAGAAAACCAACTAAGCAATAGCAAAATGGTGCTCAAAGGGGACTGGAGAGATAGTGATTAAAAGTAGTGGATGCTCTTGCAAAGAAAAGGGTTCAAGTTCCAGTACCTACATGGTGGGTAAAACTGTCTGTAACTTCAGTTCCAGGAGATCAATGTCCTCTTCTGACTTCCCAGGGCACTGCATGCACACGGTGTGTTTACATACATACATGCAGACAATACACTTATATACATTAAATAAAATGTTTTGTAAAAAAGGTGAGCTGGGGACTAGAGAGATGGCTCATCAGTTAAGGGCACTGGCTGCTCTTCCAGGGGACCTGGGTTTGGTTCCTATCACTCATGTGGCAGTTAACAAATGTCTATAACTCTAGTTCCAGGGGAATGTAACACTCTCTTCTATCCTCCAAAAGCATTGTACCACATGAATGCACTTACACGCAGGCAACACATTCATACACTTAAAAATAGTAAGGGGCTAGATGGCTTAGTGGTTAAGAGCACTGGCTGCTCTTGCAGAGGACCCAGATTTGATTCCCAGCACCCACATAGTGGCTAACAACTGTCCCTAATTCCAGTTTCAGGGGGATCTCATACCCTCTTCTGACCTCCAAAAGCATTGCATGACATGGGTGCACTTAAATACATGCAGGCAATACTCATACACATAAAAAAAAATCATAATCATAAAAATAATATTTTTTAAAAAAAGGTGAGCTGGGTGTGGTGGCACATGCTTTAATCTCAGTAGTATGGAAGCAAAGACAGGCCAGTATCTATGAGGTTAAAGCTAGCCTGGTCTATGCAGTGAATTCCAGGCTAGCTGAGGCTACAGAGGGAGACCCTGTCTCAAAAAATGGGGGTGGGGGGGAGGGGAGACATGGGGTCTGGGGGGGAGAGATGGGGAACTAAAGTGCTAGTTACTAGTCCTGGAGAACATTTTGTTTTTCTTTTTTGGATACGGCCTCACTGTAACTCAGGGTGGCCTCAAACTTGTGATCCAGATTTCAGTCTCTTGAGTGCTGTGATTATGTCTTAGTCATCCCCCCACCGCCACTCTGGGGGCTATTTGACACAGGATCTTATGTAACTTAGGCTGGCCTTGAACTCACTATGTAGCCAAGGTTAATAATTAATTCCTGATCTTATTGCCCTTACTTCCCAAATGCTAGGATTACAGGTATTAGTCATAATATTGGCCGTTTTTTTCCCATTATGGTGGTAGCCATTGAATTCAGGACCTCATGTATGCTAGAGAAAGACTACCATCAAGCCACATCTCAAGAACACATACTCTTCATCAAAATACACAATTTCTTTTACCACCAGGATTTCTATTTAAAGAGTTTTCATCTCACCTGCTGTGCATCTGTGTCTGATTGGAAAGTGATATACCAGTTACTGTTGTGTGCAAACTCACAGCTTATCACTTTGGGACAGTTTTCATTTTTAAATAAAGCTTTCACTTCCTAAAAAAGAAAACATATAGTCAATCCTTTAAAAATGTATCAAGGGAAATTTGTTTTGATAGTAAAGTTGAACAGCTCTTTAATCTCATTTCTTCATTTATTGGCTTTCTTTTCCTGAAACAAAAACATGCCTAGATATAGTATAAAATTTTCATACATTTAGATTATGATGAGCAAACCAGAAGTATCATCTCTGTCTTTTTCCTTCTTGACATGCCATCATTTAAAAAAAGCTATGACCTTTATTAACATATCATCTATGCATTCTTATTTAATTCAATGCTTTGTTTGCATCCAGGTCAAAGATTCAGATACTCTACAAACATCATTTTCTTATAATTAATATAACTTGAAAAACTCCAACAAATATGGATACAGGAAAAAAAAAAAGATGGAATTCTTCCTCAGGTGTCACCCCCTACTTTTTATTATTTAAATACTCTTTTACCTAAAGAATTAATTCCTAAATATACAATATGTGTTCAATAGTAAAGTGTTGCTGCTCTAAGGAGCTACAAGAGTGAATAACTGTTCTTTAACGCTGTGGCAATTCATATGTCATTGTATGTCACTTCCTTTGCAGTCTGCCCGAACCTGGCCCACTGCTGGCTCCTTTGGCACACTCAGGACTCTCTGTGGTTATCACCAATAGTCCATCTCCTACTTCTTAAAATATTTACTTTATGTGCATGAGTATTTTGCCTGCATGTAGGTAAGTGCACCGCATGCATGTATTGCCCAAGGAGTCCAGAAGTGGGCAGCAGATGCCCTTGAAGCTGGATTTACAGATGTCTGTTAGCTGCCATGTGGGTGGTGGGGACTGAACTTGGTCCCGCTAAAGAGAAGCAAGTGCTCTTAACTCCTGGGCCACCTCTCCATCCCTCATCCCTCACTTTTTTCTTTTCTTTTCTTTTTCTTTTTTTGGTCTTTTTGAGACAGGTCTCCCTGTAGCCCCAGCTGTCCTGGAACTCACTATGTAGACCAGGCTGGCCTTGAACTCACAGAGATTCGACTGCCTCTGCCTCCCGAGAGCTGGGACTACAGGCATGTGCCACCACGCCCGGCATCATCCCTTACTTAAAAAAAAAAGTTTTAAAATTATATTGTGGGTATGTAATGTTGATGCTAAGGACTGAACTCAAATCTTACTTGCATGGCAACACTTTACCAAATGAAGAGCTCTCCTTCAATCATTACTTTTTAAATTTACTGCTGTTATATATAAACTACTAAAAATATGAATTATAGCTCTCCTGGGAGCCCTCTGGGCCTGGTCCCGCCCTCACCTCCCTCTGCTTCCCTGGGCTGCACAACCTGCCAGCCTCTTTCCTGGACACCAGGGCTGACCTCTCAGCTTCTGGATCCTTTGCATCCAGATCAATCCAGTTCCTCCCTGCAGTCCTTGTGGCCTCTTCCCACCCCCACCTCCCTTTGCATCTCTGGGTGGCATGGCCACCAGCTGCCCTAGACCAGCATCTTTCCTGGGCCCTATTCCCAGGCCAGTCCAACCCCCAAATTCCTGAAGACAATAACTTTCCTGGAGGGATCCAGACCTTAGGAGAAAGCCTGAGATCATCTGGTCTGCATCCGACTTGGGCCTCTGTGGGAACTCCGGAAGACAAAAGCAATCTGGCCACTCCAATATAAAATCAAAAGACTGAAGCTTAGATGAACCAGCGTTTCATGCCCCAAAAGTAAACCACAAAGGCACATCTCTCATTAATAACTTTAAATATTAACGGACTGAACTCCCCAGTCAAAAGACACAGACTATGTCAATGGATTAAGAAATAAATCCCATCTTTTTGTTGTCTGCAGGAAACTCATCTCACTTTCAAAGACAGGCACTACCTCAAAGTGAAAGACTAGATGAATGGATTAGGAAATAAAACCCATCTTTTTGTTGTCTGGAAGAAACTCATCTCACTTTCAAGGACAGGCACTATCTTAAGGTGAAAACGATGGAAAAAATTTTCCAAGCGAATGGTCCTAAGAAAAAAGCAGGCACTGCAATTCTAATAACTGACTAAATAAACTTTAAACTAAAACTAATCAGAAGAGATAAAGAGGGCCACTTCATTCTGATCAAAGGAAAAATAAATCAAGTAGACATTACAATCATGAACACATATTCTCCAAACTCTGGTGTACCCAACTTCATAAAAACAATACTACACGACTTTAAGACCCAGATTAATCCCAATTCATTAATAGTAGGGGACTTCAATAGCCCACTGTCTCCATTAGATAGGTCAACAGGCCAGAGACTTAACAGAGAGACATCTGAATTAAACAAAACCATATATCAAATGGACTTAACAGACATCTACCGAGTATTCCACCCAAGCACCAAAGGACATACTTTCTACTCAGCACCCCATGAAGCCTTCTCCAAAATCGACCATATACTGGGTCACAAAACAAACCTCAACAAATACAAAAAGATTGAAATAATACCATGCATTCCATCAGACACAATGCAATAAAGGTTACAATCAACATTGGAAGAAGCCCTAATCACCACATGAACACATGGAGATTAAACACACGCCTAAATGATGAATGGGTCAAAAGAGAAATTAAGAAGGAAATAAAAGTGTTCCTGGAACTAAATGAAAAGGACAATACAATACAACACAACAAAACCTCTGGGACACACTGAAAACAGTCCTTAGAGGGAAGTTTATAGCTCTAAGTGCCTACATCAAAAAATCAGAAAGAACACAAATAAATGACTTAACATTGCAACTCAGGACACTTGAAAAGCAACAACAAACGAAATCAAAACCCAGCACACAAGAAATAAGAAAATCAGGGCAGAAATTAATGAAATCAAAACAAAGAAAACAATACAAAGAATCAACGAATCCAAGAGCTGGTTCTTTGAAAAGATAAACAAGACTGACAGACCACTAGCCCAGTTAACCAAAAGAAAGAAAGAGCACCTCCAAATCAAAAGCAGAAATATCACAACAGACACCAGAAAGATACAGAACATTATAAGGGAATACTTTAAAAACCTATATGCTACTAAATTTGAAAACCTCAAAGAAATGGATGGATATCTAAAGGCATGGGAACCACCAAAACTAAACCAAGAAGAGATTAACAGCTTAAACAGACCCATAACACAAAAAGAAATTGAAACAGTAATACAAAACCTCCTGACTAAAAAAAGCTCAGGACCAGATGGATTTACAGCAGAATTCTATCAGACATTTAAAGATCTACATCCAATACTACTTAATTTATTCAAAAAAGATAGAAATGGAGGGAGAACTTCCAAATTCCTTCTATGAAGCCAGCATCACTCTAATACCAAAGCCAGGTAAAGATACAACCAAAAAAGAAAACTATACACCCATATCCTTAATGAACATAGACGCAAAAATTCTCAACAAGATACTTGAAAACCGCATATAGATACACGCCAAAAAGATCATCCATCATGATCAAGTCGGCTTTATCCCAGAGATGTAAGGATGGTTCAATATAT